GCGTTTCGTTATGCTGGGTCGATATTTCTAAAACAAAATATTAATAAAAAAAAACAATTAATAAACAATAATATATAAAGGCGCATGACTTGATTTTAATTGAATATTAGCATAGTATTCTTAGAAAACCAGACATTAATATAGGTATAACCTTAGATTATATATTATTATAGATTCTTTTTATACAATACGTTACTTCTAATATTTAAAGTTTTGACAAAAAAAATCTTATATTTATTATTACTAGGTATTGGACGTTCTGGCTTTGAACAGCACGGAGACTTATTCGAGACTTGCAAGCAACACATCACACAACGCACGGCCATAACGTAACAATCTTGCTATTGTATAGTTCAGGAAATATTATTTGCACCAATTCGACTTATCGGCTTATCTTTGGAGAACAATAGAACAAAAGAGTACGTCGGCTCTGCAAGGCACGTGCCATCCGTATACTATTTAGAGTTAGTATAGATACTACATAATATTAAGGTTGCAAATGTCAGGTTAGGTTGGGTTAGTTAGTTACAACTTAAGAAAATATAATGATAAATGTAATAATTTATTACTAGGAACAATTTAGTGAAACAATACAATTCAACAATAAATAAGTAATTAATTTAATTACAATTAATTTATTATGAAATTATTATAATCTGAATTACTAGTTCAATGTAAGTTTTACAACTTCTTTTTTATAGAATAACGGTGACAAACGAGCACACAGTCCCCCTGACGGTAAGTGGTTGCTGTGGCCCATAGACATCTACATCTATCCTCGATTACGAATCAAAATGCAGATGCCTTGTCACCCGTGAGGACTAAGATTGAATGTCTCGTTTTCAGTAAAAAGAGTCTCCGGCTCTCTATATTCACCATACGAAATACAGCAGCATTAAGCTGGTATTTTGTGAGAGGGCGGTCTTTCCCCGGTCTAGCCGACCCATTAGTGCTACAACTATACCAGTAATATAGCTGTAGTATTTCTCCACTGATCATTTGTTGCCGTAATTTCATTATTTTAATATATTTATAAAGTTTCCCAAAAATTTTAGCTGGTTTACTATATGTGTACAAGTACCTACAGGGTCGCTCAGCGAGCTATGGAGAGGGCTATGCTTGGGGTTTCTCTGCGTCATAAACTTAGAAATCAGGATATCCGCAGTAGAACCAGAGTGACCGACATTGTCCAACAAATTCGTAAGCTGAAGTGGCAATGGGCCGGCCATATAGCTCGAAGAACCGACAACCGATGGGGAAAAAAGGTTCTCGAGTGGTGGCCTAGTACCGGCGGACGAAGTGTAGGGCTTCCCCCCACTAGGTGGAGTGACGATCTGATAAGACATGCAGGAAGTCGATGGATGCAGGTGGCTCAGGACCGTGCTTTGTGGCATTCCTTGGGGGATGCCTATGTTCAGCTGTGGACTTGTGATGGGCTGTAATGATGATGATAATGTTGAAGTACCTACACAGTTTTATGTATGAAATTTCATTCTTATAAAATGTCTACAGCTGAACATAGTGTTCTCTCACATATTTATATTCGCCGTGGTTGTCACACTTTACAAGCGGGTTGTCAACCGCATTTTTTTAAATTATTTTTAATTGTTATCAGGAAGACGCTACCTATTTCTTGTTTCGTTTCTCTCTGTCACCTTCTACGACACGCGCGGGACGATGTAACGTGTAAAATCCTGTTACTACACAAGAAGGTAAAACAATGTCAAATTCATCTAATATTTATGGGTTCAGATGTGATGTACTCTCTCACTCATTAGAATGTATGTATGTGTAACTAAAGGCATCTGAATATATGACATTAATTTCGCTCTTGTAATCCATTTTATTGTTTTTTGCAATAAAGTGTAAATAAATAATTCAGTAAGATAATATTGTAATCCGTAATAGTCTAGGGTCTAGGCGCTGATTCCGACCATCCGTCTAGTTCAGGGTTTCCCAACCTTTTTTGACTAGGGACTACTTTCATTTTTTTTTGTAGTTAGTAGGGACCACAAGGTGAAAGAAAAATCTGTGTTAATCTAACAATAAATTATAATCACAACTTTTAACATAATTGTATAAGAAATGAAAAGAAGCATTAATTAACAGTATTATTTGTGCATTTACTGTAATATCTAGTAGGTACTTACTAACGTGACGCGCAGTATTGCACTGCCCGCGTGACGTGAAAATAATAAATGTATTAATTAAAACGATTAGGTAGGCAAAATATTTAAATCTTTCGCGAACGATATTTAAGCTCTTGCGGACCATTGGTGGTTTTTCAATTGAGCCTAGGATCAACAGCGCGATTGTGAACTCTGGTAGGAATCGTTTGCCAAAATCACTCCGCAGCTGCGTTATTCCTTTTAATTATGATAATATTTTGTAACCTAAACCCATTTTGATATAATAAAGGCATCGGCTTGTAATCTATACTAATATGTAATACATTTACACTTTTTATTATACGTGGTATTATTTTTATACGTTGTAGAGCCATGCTGCAGCTATATTAATAGTATAGTTATAGCATGAATGGGTCGGCACATATGTTGAGTGTAGAGAACCGGAGACCCTTTTTACTGGAAAAGAGGCATTCTATCTTAGTCCTCACGGCTGACAACGTATTTGCATTTCAATTCGCAAACGAAGATAGATGTAGATGTCTATGGGCCACAGCAATCACTTACCATCAGGTGGACTGTATGCTCGTTTGTCACCCTTATTCTATAAAAAAAGCACTATATAATAAACCAAACATCAACGTTTCCCACCAGCGTGACACAATAGCACTTCTGGACATGGTTTAGGTACGTCCTTAGACACAAAATCGTGATATTAAATACAAATACAAATTCAGTATTTACAAGAAACACAGTTGACAGGAGGACATTGACATCCATAAAACAACAACTTGCAAAATCACCAAAGAGATAAAGACAGCTTTTTCCTACCTTACTACTAGCAAACTCTTTGATCATTTATAAAATGTAGACGTCAACTTTCCTCATACAAAATGTAAGTTGTAATGTTTAGATATCAATTAGTACGTTTACGTGGTAGAGCCATGCTGCAGTTATATTAGTAGTATAGTTGTAGCATGAATGGGTCGGCTCAACCGGGGAAGGCCCACGCTCTCACAGAATACCAGAGTAAATAGCAGCTTAACACTGCTGTGTTTCCTATGGTGAGTGTTGAGAACCGGAGACCCTTTTTACTGGAAAAGAGGCATTCCCATCTTAGTCCTCACGGGTGCCAACTCATCTGCATTTTGATTCTTTATTGAGGATAGATGTAGATGTCTATGGGCCAAAGTAACCACTTACCATCAGGTGGACTGTGTGCTCGTTTGTCACCCAATCCTATATAAAAAAAGATATATCGGATGCAAAGTAAGAGCCATGAAGTCAATAAAAATAAATCCAGACTTGAAAACCAGTTCTTTTGTCGGAACCAAAAAGAGCGTCGCTACCATAATTATTTAAAAACTAATGACAACTTAGTTGCTTAGTTTTTTATTGTTTTAGTTCTTGTCTCTTGTTGATTTTACTTTGATAATGCCCAAAAATGCGAAACTGATCAGATTCTGGTTGAAATAAATATTAAAATAGTGTGTACAACTGATCTTATATTTCTAATAACAATCAAAGTTGTCATATCGTATAGTTGGTATGTATATTTGACATTTATTCAAAAAAAGAAATAATCTCTAAAGAAATAGATTTTTTAATTAATTTACAACACGTAAAAATTTTTTGTAATGTTGTGCTTATATTATATACCGAATTATATTAGGTTGTAGGTAGCACCTACCACTTCGTAAAGCCCTTAGATAGTAATAATAGTTACCCCGTTCAGCAATCTAACCTGCCAAAGTCTACACTTAGCTACTGCAATACTGTGCAAAACAGATGAAAATTTAGGATGGTTCGAATTGTCATGATAGGAAAATACTAATGTAGTTTTCATCTTTCGATAGAGGAGCGGGCTTTTTATTTGATCTAATACCTTGTAGTAAGAAACGAATACTGATGTTTTAACATTCAATGCATATTAATTATGTAAATATATGATGTTATCTATTGAGTAAGAAAAATATAAAATACTGCTACTGTAATGTAATTTAGTAGTTTCAAATTATTCAGTGTCATATAAGTTTTGTTGTCTGGTGCATGAGAGTACATTACGAAAACGTAAGAAAACAGCGAAGAAATAACTTTATATACTTCTTAATTCTTTTTATCTGTTGTTGTAAGCTTAAGGCATTTTACATTCATGAAGTTTTATATTGAAAATAATTTAATAGGGCAACTCTATAATTTTTTTAAATAAGTAATGTATAATAAAAATGTATGTGCCAAAATCATTAAACATTTTTAATTTTGTATTTGTAACGTGATTTTATCATGTGTCATTTATTCTATCGTATGGTTCTTTGGCTTTTAACCACCAATTTAATTGAATTTGTATTTATAAACTTTTAAGTAAATGATATGTTACACCTTTAATATAATTTAGACTGAAAAGGTTGCGAAATAATTTCGTGGGTGTTATATATGAAACAAAATGTATCTATTCATAACACATATTTATTGTTTTCTTTCGCTATAAACTAAAAATATAACTAAAAGCGAAGGTCTTAGAATTTAACTAATTAGCTCGTATTCGAGCAGACTACAAATATCACAGTTTTAACTTAATTGCTACGGTACTTTATAAGTTTAAAACAAATTAAATGCAAATTAAACCGACGCGGAGACGTTGAAGTCAGGCATACAAAATAACAAATCTGTTCATAAAACAAAAACCTTACTTTATTAAATTAAAAACAAAACTTCAACAAGCAAAGCGAGCGGAACTTAATCCATTTTTCAACACACATCGGTTCTAGGAACGTTAACTGGGTCAAACAACAAAACGCTTATATATCACACGTTTGGTCACACAGTCCAGGATGGATAGCATACGAGATCAAGAGTTGGTTGGACCAGGATCGGTCACCAGGGCCTCCACATCGACTGGGCGGAGTCTGTCTCGGAGGCGGGGCTGTGCGGAGGCGAGGGCGGCGCATACGCCCGTTTCGAGGTCACCTCTGCTTCCGCGAGCCGCTCTGCTGGCCTCTTCAAGCCTCTTTCATGCATCACTGGTCGCTGCAAGGTTTGTGGCTGTGGTGGAGGCGCGGGGGCAATCGGCTGCAATGGTGTTGGTCTGGCAATTCCATTCGGGGCTATCGGCTGCGGCTGGACTACTTGTGGACTCTCTAACCGTCTTATACAAGTGCTCAAATGCTGCAATAGCCTGGCTCCTGCTTGGGGATCGACAGGCCCCTGTCGCTGTAATGCATTCGCAGCAAGAGTTGCATTTGCAATGAACTGTGACACTTCCGTCGCGCACTGTGTAAAACCTGCGCGAAATCGTTCCGCGTATGAAGTTTCAGGTTTCAGCACTAATTGTCCTCTTCTTTTCAGGCTGTGTAGATGACGTACTGTCAGTTCAAGGATATCAGCTTTTTCCAGTTTGGACACGTTTTCGCCTTCAGCTTGTAGAGCGGTGACCATAAGATCTTTAAGCTCGTCGAGGCAGCGGTTGATACGTGCTCGTCGCTTCCTTTCAAGCATTGGTTTCATGACTTTTCTGTACTGATAGGTTCTGGAGACGGGTTCTTCTTCGTGGTGTGGCGTGGTGTAAGCGCCTTGCGGCGGTGACATTGTTCTCGCGGGGAGGATCATTGGTGCGGCGCGCGCGACTCTCTGAGAACGAATGAAGCGCGCGCCGCTGCCTCGCCGCTTTTATGCGCCCTACAGCGATTGTGGCAAAACGCCTGTGATAAAAACAGGGGTGGCAGTTGAGCGGATGAATTGTTCATTTTTAAATAATGATATGAAATTATAGATTTTTTTAAACTATGCAATTTTAAATTTTAGGTGTAACATCCAATACATTTTTTTATTGTTAATGAATCACATTAAATTATATATGGCTTTGTAAAGTAAACGTTGAGTATGTAAATTTTAGATTTTTTGATGTCAATAGCTAGTTAATCATAAGTGATTGTTTTTCTCCTAAAATTATGTAATGTAATATTTTTTAATATTTTTTTCTTGAACCTCACTTGTTGATAATCAGATTAAATTTTGAAAAATAAAATATATATTTTACATGATAAATTGTACTTCTTTCTTGGAAAACATATATTATTATTTAAGCCACCTCTTTGTTCTCAGCAGCTGTATGGTAAAACATATCAAGGGAGTCAGCTGATGGCACCTGGCCAGCACGCGTTCTCACGCGCACCCTCCCTTCTAAAGCACACACAAGCAAGCGAGCTTTCCTACATGAAGACTTCACAATAACGCATTGCTCTTAAAAGATGTCTCGTGGCAATAAATAAAACAGCTGTCGTTGTGAGGGCTTTTTAAATTGCCTAAAATTTCAAAATGTTATTTAATTTCGATTTATTTATACTGTTTTTTTTAACACTTTTATTTTTTGCATCCTTATACTTATTAAAGGTTAGGTTATTAAGTTTAGTTTCTTATATGAAACTAATTTTACGGATTTTGTAGCATTTAATTTTTACTTATTTTATGATCCCGACGTTCTAAGTGCTTTATAGCACTCTAACCACTAGTGACTAAGGTATTCGACATTAAATACATATGCAATAAATCAAAAATTTTAAAATAACAAAAAAATAATGTGTTTAAAGTCAATAAAAAAGTTTCATTTACATGATTTATATAGTTTCATTTACAATTTAAAATTATCATCGCTATACTGCAGTACCACATCTATTATATTTTGAAAAAAGTTTATGTGATAAAATAAATATATACATTCTATAATCAGTAATTTGTAGCAACCCTAGTAAAGCGGCGGTACAGGCGTAAATTCGCGCGGTGCGTTATCGCCTCCGTCTCACACAAACAGACGGACCGACGAATAGAAATTACTGTACACACATTTTAACTTTTTACAATCTAAGTACATTTTTAAATGATTTGTGACCTAGATAGAAATGTGTAATTATTTTACGTCAAGTGATTGCTGAAAGATAACTAGTTTTAACTGTGTAATAAAACTTTTTAATTTTAAAGGTAATTTCTTTGATATATTAACTTTTACAACAATTTATTGCATCATATATTTCCTACTACATCGACTTAAGAGGAATTTTGAAGGTACGTATTAAATTATAAGCTTAAATCTCATCAATTAGTCATCCGAAAACAATAACTGCCAAGTTGCAAAGGTGTGAGTTGGTTCCCAGCACCGCTAGTCGACACAGCACCGATCTATTGTGCGGTCGGAACCTCCGTGACGCTACTTACTCCAATTCTGTCCCACTAAACCAGACACCGAAACGTCTTAAGTGTCGACACGCGTCTTTGTTATAGGCGAAATGTACCGCTTCTTGCGACCCATTGGACGCTTAAGACCTGTTAATAATGAAGCGGCGTTGGAGTCGAATAGTGAACGGTCGTAAGAGACCTTACACTTGGTAGCGGGCAAGACATTCTTCTACTGAATTCGACATCGTGGGAAAGCCCGTTCCGCGCGTGTTCCCACACACTCGGCCGGCACAAGCCAACCGATAAATTATCATAATACCATTGTGAGTGAGACGATACTAAGAAATTTTATACTTCATCAATTGCTGCGTTGAATACATTAGCGCGTGATACTCCTTTGTTGGAACGCTGACGCTCGGTCTACAAGTTCGGAGCCACCCGGGTTGGCTCCTTATTTTTTCTATCACGTATCTATTTTATGGCGCGTATTCCAATGCGACGGTAGATAATTCTACAACTATTATTGCTTCAAGATTTCAAGAACAATTTGATGCTTATTTCGAATTATTGCGTCTGCTGTGTGGCGGCGGCGGATAATCAACCACCCACTTTCGACCTGTGAATATCGTAGGTGTTAACCGTCTCGTTGACTTCAGAAGTGAAATGCCTAGACCGGCGACGGGCACACACTAAAAACTAGCGATACCCCCGGCTTCGTACGGATGATATCTGGATCTCGACAACGGTGCCACATACCGGGTTGGGTTGGACTATTGTGAATCTAAACCATCCAGGCACTCCACTCAAATACACAAAAAAATTTCATCAAAACCGGTCATGCCATTTTCGAGTTTTTGCGAGACTACGACTAGACTTATATAGAAATGAGGGTGACATACGAGCACATAGTCCACCTGATGGTAAGTGGATGCTGTGGCCCATAGACATCTTCAGTTATCCTCAATTAAGAATCAAAATGCAGATGCGTTGGCACCCTAGGACTCAAATGGAATGCCTCGTTTCCAGTAAAAAGGGTGTCCGGTTCTCTACACTCACCATACGAAATACAGCTGCTTTTTTACGCTGGTATTCTGTGAAAGCGTGGTCCTATCGTGGTCAAGTCCTCTTTCGTGCTACAACCATAATAGGTGCAGCGTGTCTCTACCACGTGAAAAATTAAATCATCATTTTGCATTTACAATACAAATACAACACGATTTGAACAACTTCTAAAGCTCCACCCGCCTTCTATAAATATCAACATAAATATTGTTAAACATCTAGCAATGTAAATATGTTATATTTGTCCGTCTAAAAATAAATTTGAACTAAAAAAACTATACCCAAAAAAAGATCTAAAAACGATATGAACTCGTTTTATATATGGGTACCTCAATAGCTCATATTAACTGCTTTAAATATATTTTTTTTATTTTTTTTGCGCCCGAAGCAATTGGAAAAGGGCTACCCCGAAGGGAGGCAGAAAATGCATTACGCATACCACGATGGCCGGTCCATCGTGGTTATGAGGGACTCACTACCTACAAGGGGGAACCTAAGTGATACCCTCTAAAAACTGCCTTTGGGGACTGGCAACCAGCTGTTGAAAGCTTCACATGCCGTATCGTAAAGCGACCCTCTTTTGGGAAAAGAGGGCGCAGGCGGCTATAAGCCGCTGAGGGAGTGCCTGGGAAGGCAAATTAATTATGAATAACTTAATTAGAGTTGGCCTGAGCCGCCAGGAGGCAGTTCAGGTCGTTTGAAAGTTTATTAGGCGGGTCCGAGAGGGAGTTCCTCGGCCTGCGGACGCTATAGCGGGAGGGGAGTGGGGCTGCATAATTAGCAGCCTCACGAATAAAATGATTGGAATGCGACTCTGAGGCTTTGAAGAAGTTCTCAGAGAGTTTTTTAAGGAATTGTTGAATTGTAGGGAGCTCTAGGTCCCGATGAAGGTCGGCATTGCGGACGTACCAAGGTGCGTTCGCAGCTCGACGACAGAAAAGGTTTTGAACTACTTGGAGTTCATTAATAATTTTAGGGTTAGAGTGGGCGAAAATGGGGCCCGCGTAGGACATGACTGGTCGTATACAGACCTTATAAAGGGTACGCTTGTTTCTGAGGGACATTTTACTGTGTCGACCCAACATACTGTTGAGCCTATTCAGGTAAAAACGTGCGTGACGGGTTACTCTTTTGACGTGGGGCCTGAAAGTTAGCCCTGTGTCTAGAGTGACACCTAAATATTTGGCAGACGTATGCCAGGGGACAGGGGTCCCTAGCATACGTATTGGTGGAGTGTTTTTGAGACGGCGTCGTTTATAATCGAAGTGAACGGCGGAGCTCTTCTCCGGGTTCACATCGATGCGCCATTTTTTGAACCAAGCTCCTAGGTCATCAACTGACTTTTGGACCTTGTTCCGTATGAAAGGTAGCGAGATACCTTTGCAGTAGAGAGCAGTGTCGTCTGCGAAGAGGGAGAGCTGAACACCTTTCGGCGGAATGGGAATGTCGTTGGTGAACAGTATGTACAGCAGAGGAGCAAGAACTGAGCCCTGAGGGACACCAGCTTTGATGGGGCGCTGTGAAGATAGCGTGCCTTCGTGTCTAAAACGAAAGGTACGATGATTAAGATAAGAGGCCACGAGACGTACTAGACGATCGGGGAGACCTATTTTGTATAGTTTGTAGATAAGGCCTGTATGCCAGACTCTATCGAAGGCTTTGGCGATGTCGAAAAAGACCGCGATAGTCTTATGACGACGGGGATAAAAACCGCTGAGGATATATTCCACAATACGGTGAACTTGTTGGGGGCAGGAGTGTTTCGCTCGGAAACCGAATTGATGGGGAATGATAAGAGGGTCACCGTCTGTGGGAAACAGATGGCGCCTCATGCGATTTTGAATGACTCTTTCAAAGAGCTTGCCCATGGCCTTGAGGAGGCTAATGGGACGATGACTGGAGGGGAGATTAAGAGGCTTGCCTGGCTTGGGAATACCAATCACAGTTGCCTCTTTCCACGTAGTGGGAAAGTAACTAAGGTTGAAGCAGGCATTGAAGATAATAGATAAAAGGGTTAGCACCTGCTCAGGAAAGTTTTTTAGGGCTTGGTTGGAGATGCCATCCGCGCCCGGAGCCTTTTTAGGCTTAAGTCCTTTGATGAGGGATGAAAGCTCATCATTGGACACAGAGATAGGTTCGGAGGCTGTAGGGGGCGAGTTCCGGCGGCGGACCTCATCCTCCACTGCCTGGACGTGTGAGGGGTCTACGGGTTGAGAGCTAGGAGAGCATTGAGCGGCAATGCTGTCTGCAAAGCACTCAGCCTTTTCCTCGTCCTCGAAGGCTACCGTACCGTCGGGACGGGAGAGAGGGGGAGTGTGGAAGATAGCGTCTATGCGGAGGGCTCTTGCCATCTGATAGTACGCTGTATGAGAGGG